CACCATACTAATTTATGTTCAAAGTAATCAAAAACAAAGTAACATAAATAACGAAGCATCATCTCTCATTACACTATGAAAATGCATTGCTGTTTGTCTACTTACTTTCAAGCAGGAGTTACTCTCTTGAAGAAGGCATATGAAAGCATGATTTTAGGTCCTATTCTTACGTGGCCTGTTCTGAATGTGTTGTGTTAGTCATAGGATTTTTCACGGGAAAATAACTCAGCATTTCCCATGGTCAGAGTTCTAGGGGATTCTGAGTAACAGAATCACCTGGATGTCTGTTGTTCATCTGCTTATTGTGTTATGAAGATTCACTGATTTCGTGCCTTTAAGTCCATCATATCTGACTACTAGGATCTTGAGCCTGAACCAAGCTTCTCCAAGTTTCTGGGACCCTTGGCTCATTGTACTTTTTGTGTTGTACCCCAGATTCATGCTATCTGTCCTCTTTCTGCTAGGCCCTTTCTGGTATAAAGAAAAAAAGTTCTTCTTGCCTCTCTTTGACAAATTGCTTTTTACATGTCTCTGCTCCTACCAAATCACAGTTTATGTTTGTTCTTAATACAACTGGGAAACTAACAAAAGCACAACAGTTTTTAATGCCTTATGGCATTGCTGGGCCTTCTGACACCATAGATACTATTTTGCATATTTAATGTTTATGAATTTGATATTTTGTTTATTCCAGAGACAAAATCAAAATGAAATTAAGATGGAAGATGCATTTTGTGTAAGAAGACTGGGGTGGAAAGGCTAATTTTATAGTTAAAGGTTTTAGAGAAGAATATTTGGGGCTTGTGATGCCCAACATTGATTTCAGGTATGCAGGTTTTTAGTGCTTTTCTTCTGTAGTGCACAGGAGACAGTACATAATGAACAGCATAACTAAGCATACCTAAAGAGCACCATGCACTGTGTTATTAGGGTTGATTACTTTAAGGCAGTGTACATAGGCCTCACCAATGACATGCGAATGAGAGGGTACTTAGATTGGTCATTTCATGAGGCATTGTATCTGTAGTTCCATGGTGTTAAACATTGAAATATGAATGGGCATTAAGATATTAAATTTAAGGCATTGGAATTACTTATAAGTGGGTAAATTACAGACTCTCTCAAGGTAAATTGTAGCAAGATAGATTTCCTCTATGGAATTGCTGTAGTAATGCTTACAAAGTTTGGATCAAGAGACTAAAACACTGAGATTCTTTGTTTTCACACTACCACTTTCAAGATCTTTACTGAAAAAGGTATTATTTGTATAAAAATTTAATGAGTATAATGTTTATTACAGCCTAATTCTATAAGAAAGAAAGGAGGAAATTCTAATTTTTTGCATTGAATGTGATTATCGAATGTGCTGTCATTAAAATTCATGTGTAATTCTAAAACATTATATGACTCCATAAAAATGTTTAGGCAGCATCACTTTAGTTAAGTTATCCAATCTTTTTAAAAATTGACATATAAATAATAGCATGAGAGATGGCTCATTAGGTAAGACAGGACACACCAGCCTGGCAGTTTGAGTTCAATTCATACCTACATGTGAATGGAAAGAACAGGACTCCACAAACTTGACTTCTGATTTCTACTGTGTGCCATGGCACATATGACCATCCCCTTAATAAACATGCACAAATAATGAATATATTAAAATAGAAAATAAAAAACTGCAATATGAAAACCAATTTCACATTTTGATAAATTCTAACTGGTAGAATTGTGTTTGGTTTATTTTTAAAAGATACCATCTAGTTTCTTAAAAAGTTATTACAATTACTGGTTTATTTTTTTAATTAGATATTTAGTTTCCCTTTCCATCCATCTTTCCTTTATACTAACACTTTACTAACAAAGCCGACAGAGAAAGGAACTCATAGGTCTTGGGTAGAGCTCTGCAAGAGGGTGCTTACCTGGTAAATGTGGGCCTGTGCGTACAATCCCTAGCACCTCAGAGTGGGGAAGAGAAGGAATGGCAGGAGGAGAACAGTTGAAAAAGGAAGAGTTAGAGGTGTAAAGGGAGGAATATGAACAGGAGGGAATGGAGAAAGGAAAATGTGAGGAGTGAAGTAAAAAGAGGAGAAGGAAGAAGACAAGAAGGACAAAGAGAAAGAGTATATTTTATATTCTATCCTACAGATGATAGAATATAGAAAGGAATGCAACCCTTTTCTTCCCATTTTAAAACAATATTTTGCCTCCCCAAGGTATCCAAAACCAAACAAGTAGCAAACACAAACAGGATTTCTGAAAGCTATATGACTTACAACTTAACCTGGGGTTTCTTCTTTCAAAAGACATGGAACTTCAAATGGAGGCCATTGTCAAAGTCAACCTCACAAAGGTCTCAGTCCACCTTGCTTTCCACAATTTCTTTCCTCAGAAAGAGAAGAAGTCAAGGGTAGAAGCAAGTTTTCAGTACCAGAATGAGCAGTTACGGAAACAGGCCGCAGTTTTGCAAGGTGCTCTCAGATTGCTGAAACCTGAGATGGTATCTCTGGTCAGAGACACACTTTCCAGATGTCAGGATTTAGGAAGCTCTGATAAGTAATAAATGGCATGTATTGTAGAGAACAATGATGGTGGAGAAGAAAAAAGAACTTGAAGTAAAATCCATGTTTTCAAAAGACTACATTGCTGTGTAGAATGGTGTACTGAAGAAAGACTTGTGTACGACTGGCTCCTAATAGTTTTGAAATCCATAGTCGGTATTTGAAAACATAGCTAGAAATTGATTTTCTGTTTTCTATGACTTCAAGTGGTGTTTGCATTATGACAAAATGCATTACGGCACCTGCTTTGTCATCTCTAGATGTGATAATAATAGCACTTATCTCATAGAGTGGCAGTGAGCAGGAGAAAATTTAGCATAGCCTCTGAAATGCATTAAATATTCAATTAAAAGCTTTTAATAACCACGATGTTTACACTATTAATGAACATTTTCTCTCTCAGTGGTATAAATGCTTTAAAATTAAGAGTACACATTTTGTTCCTGAAGTCTAGCTATGTTTAGAGAAAATACAGCTACCTTCATAACTTGTTCAAACTTGTAAAAATCTCATAAAAGCTGCAGATTATCTATTTATAATGACTGACATTCTGTATCTGTGTGCATAAGGTCATATTACACAAAAATCTTTTTGTGTGACTGAAGATAAATGATAGCTAAAGAGGCACTTAGTGTCTCTGTTATGCCAGATTTGCTACATTTTTAGGTGTGTGTGTGTGTGTGTGTGTGTGTGTGTGTGTGTGTATGTGTGTGTGTGTTCTAATATTAGAAGTTTCAACTCACAAATGATGTGAAGCTAAGATAAATGAAGGTTCCCTTGTAAAATTCAGAATGAGAATAACCTACAGCTTTCGTACACCTAAAGTGGTCTCATAAGTACTTCCCATTTTGTCTGAATCTTCTGTTCAATCGTCTTTAAGATGCGTCTACACATAGGACACTATGGTCCCTTATTCTTTTCCACCTTCCAAGGAGCTGGAAAATATTTATGCTTCCAGTATTTCAAGACATTATCACCCAAAAGAAGCAGCAAAACATCTCAGCCACCACAGTGAGCGGGTTCTGAGGCTCAAGCCTCTGTGCATTCTCTCTTCCTGCAAGATGTCAGTTCTTTTATTTAGTACAAGAGCATTTTTAATAGCTATGCACTAAGAATAGTCATTATCATGTGAACAATCTAAGTTATAGGAAAGGACATTTCTTATTTGGACTTGAGAAAGCTCTGCTTTTTTTTTGAATAGGAAAAACGTGGCTATAAATCTCTTTTTGTGATATGTCATTTGTTTAACATCATGTAATCTGTATCATACTCACAACATTGCTTTCTCATGAATACTCAAGACTTCTTCACATGTGACTCAGGAACACTTTTATTCATATTTAAAGAACTAAGCACTAAGCAACAATCCCATAAATACAAGTATAAGGAGCTACAAAATTGAAATTCCAAAATTAAAACAGCATATAGGAAAAAAGAAATTTCCATAGCAAATACACACCATTAAGTGGAAAAAATTTGTATGTATGTATATATATATATGTGTGTGTGTGTGTGTGTGTGTGATAAAAAAGTGGTACATTTGAACTATAGAGAGGCCTAGGGCAATATTCAGTAGGTGTGGCATTGCCCCATTTACTTCTGATGCTAATATGACAGAAACAGATGTTAATAAAATTACATTAACTAGGTAAGACCGTCCCTAGGTTTGATAGCTTAATACTTTAAACACTAACTGATTTTCAGCATAACTACTTAGCCTTTAAATAACTTTTCTTCTTCTTAGACACTTGCTTACACTTGAAATTATAGTTCATCACTAACTATTCTTACACAGCTTTATTTGACAGGCTAAAGAGATCTGCTCAGTGGTTATGAGAGCTTATTGTTCTTGCAGAAAACCTCAATTCTGTACCCAGCACCCATGTCAGGGTGTTATAACAACTGCCTCTAATTCTGGTTCCAGGGGATCTAACACCCTCTTCTGGCTTCTAAAATAAAAAATTTAAAGTGATATTTACTATAACTACTACTTTTTCTCTTTGAGCTTAAAGCACAGGTACAAGAAAGCTTACTTGCATTCTTTTTAAAGTGTGTGTTTATTAGACCCACTGCTATAAGCGCACCGTGTCTAACCTGATGGTACACATCGCCTCCAACCATACCTTCAGCAAAGAGATAACTCCTGTTATTTGTGTCATTTTACCATCAAGAGTAAATGAGGCAAAGTCACTCCCACTGAATATTGATCCAGGCCTCTCATTTAATTACCCTACTTATGGATGATAGTTACATGTGATATTCAGCCTTTTGAAAAGTTAATGATTTAATACTGTCTTATAAAACAAGAGTTCCTTGTTACAATCTACTGTGTCTTAAACGTATTCCAGTTAAACCTCATTTGTAATTCTATTTGAATGCTGTCATTAATAACATATTAATTAACATATCTTTTTTATTTTTTCTAAATATTCCTCATAGGTACTAAGCACAAAACCATGCTAGAAGCCCGCAGTGGAAGTGGAACTATCAAGGCCTTTCCTCGGGCAGGAATGAAGGGCAAAGGACCTGTTAATAAGGGAAACACAGGCCTCCAAAACAAAACATTTCACTGTGAAATATGTGATGTGCATGTCAACTCGGAAACACAACTCAAACAGGTACCATAAGAAAACCAACAGGGACACCCTGAGTAGTCTGCGTATGTTTCTATTCTTTATTTCCAACCTCTCCACCTACACAGACATCTATCTTCCTATTCATCCACTCAGGCATCCGTCATTCCGCCCATCCACCTACCCAGAAAACCATCCATATAACCACTCATCCATCATCTTCTAACTAAACACCTAACCAGTTATCCATCAATCGACTCATCTACGTATCCTTCCACACATCCATTCACTCACCATTCATTCACCAGGATATCCAGCTACGTCATCATCATACACCTGTCAGTCCATCCATCCACCTACTCACATCCGCATTTACCCTTTATTCACTGTCCTTATTTTAGCATGTTTATTTTAGTTGTTGAGGGAATACTAAGATGCAGTGGCTAATAAATAAAACCTGCTGCAAATTGTTGGCAATGAGTTTGTCTGTTTCTTGTGAGGCTTCTTTTGGAGCTGAAGGGTTATTATAACTTTTCTCTACTGAGTTTTCCACTCAACACAGTTAGTTTTCTTTAAAGACCAGTATAATGTTCTATTTTTTGCATACTTAGATATTTTCATGCTACAACTAATTTTGTACTTCACTGTCACTTTATTGTACGTCCTCTCATTGTCTGTATTTATTTTACTGAATCTCTAATCCTTCATCCACCTGCTGATGCAATGACTAACAATGGACAGTTATTTGTGCTGCAAATAAAGGAAAGTAGTGGTACTTTTCCAGATGAATGTTCATATTGTGTTGTGGTTTGTCTATGGATGGTATTTTGCACCTTAGTTATTTATTTTTAGAATTTAAGGGAGGAATTGGCATTTGGCTGCTCAAATATGAGGATAGTTATTGGTATGGAAATACATTCATGCCTGTCTGGGCATGTTTGTTGATTTGCACATAACATTTCTTCAGACATTCTTTCCTCTGTAAATACTTTTGAGAAGATATGTGGAGTGATAAGGCAAATAGAGGCGAGAAAAGAAAATTGTTCTATTTATTAAAAATGCATTAAAGTGAATAGTGTGAAAGGCTTCAGAATCCAAACAAGAAGTGCACATTTCTCTTTTACTTTTGTTGTTGTGAAGCTTGCATGAAATCTGCATTATATTCTTCCAGATTAAAAATATATGTGTTTGAGGAATGTGTTTGATGTGTTGTTTTTAAAGCTGTCATTTTGTTTGCTTTCAACAGCATATTAGCAGTAGAAGGCACAAAGACAGAGCCGCTGGGAAGCCCCCTAAACCTAAGTACAGCCCTTACAACAAACTGCAGAAGGCAACACATCCATTGGGGGTGAGTGACACTGTTGCTTCCTGAAAGAGAAGGTGATGATCTCTATGTCCCACGAGGTACATGGGGTGGAGGCTGTCAGGTACTACATGAAACAGGTGTAATAAGAGGACAACAATAAAAACAGTTGAGTTTTGGATCCAGCCTGCCCTCCACCAATGGAATCCTTCCTGACTTAACTTGTTCTAATGTTTACCACCTTTAACCTCAGCTCATCTGTTTAAGCTGAGATTTGTCCCTGAATACATAAACTGGAGAGAAGCCAGGCTTTTGAGTCCAGTGAGGAATCATTTAGAATGTGGTCTTGATGTTAGGGAACACACTCAGAAAGGATGTCAGAGATACGACTTCAAATTGCTGAGTTAAAGTGTTCAGGAGATAAAACATTAAATGCAGGCAACATTTATACCCTCCCAAATTTGTATTTTTCTAAACCATCATCTCAGTGGTATGGTTTAAATTTTGTATGATGATGCATTGAAAGACATTAAATGCAAGAATATATAGGTCTTTGAAAATGTCCTTTCCACAAAACATCAAATATGCTTTCTAGAAAAGGAAGCATGGAGGTATAATTATTGTTATTTTTTAAAACAATATTGGTTGCCTGACAGTTGCTGTATGTACAAAGTTTAGCACAACATTCCTCTGCTCTTTTTCCTCAAGGCAGGGACCTCCTACAGAGGTATAAATTTCAACTAAAATGCAGAAAATTGTTGTCTTCATCTCTGGAAGATGCTTAACGATGCTTGGTGGGCTATTGGTAATTATCTTCAACTTTTCCCAAAAGAAACAATTCTACACTTTCTATTTTAATTGTCAGCACTTAGCTTTGTAGCTGGTCTACCGTTTTACTTTCCAGTTACAAATTCTAAAATGTTTGTTCTTGATCCTTTTTAAATTTCTTCGCAGGTAAAATTGGTATTTTCAAAAGAACCTTCAAAGCCACTGGCTCCCAGAATTCTCCCTAACCCACTGGCGGCTGCGGCAGCTGCAGCTGCTGTGGCAGTGAACTCCCCCTTCAGCCTTCGAACTGCTCCAGCAGCTACCCTCTTCCAGACCTCTGCACTTCCTCCTGCCCTTCTGAGGCCAGCTCCTGGACCCATTCGGACGACCCACACTCCTGTGCTCTTTGCTCCTTACTGAATTCCAAACAGGAGGTGTTGTACTGCAATAATTTTTAAAACAACAAAACGAAACTAAAATCAAACAAAAGAGAACTATGCAGCGTTTATTTATAGTTTAAAGTGTATCTGGAGAGCCAGGACTTTTATAGTAAAATGAAAAGATTATTTAAAAAAAATAAATAAATAAAAAAGTGTGGGGGGTTGGGCTATGGGGAGGGGAGGGGAGACGTGGCATTTTTTTCCAAATTAAAGCATTCTTCTTGAACATTGATTGTTTTAGAAGTTATCGCCAACACTGACTCTTAGTGGTATCTAGAGCTTCCAGAGTCTTTGTGACTGGGCTTTTTTGGACACCTGTTTCCCCTGCATTGTCTTTCTGCTTTCTGAAACAATTATACATTGTTTAAGGGCATTAACTGGTTCCAATGTATATATATAATATATATATAATAATTTACTCTGTAGATCATATATATATATATATATATATATATATATATATGAAAAAAAAGCAACAAAAACAAAGCAACACTGTGAATAGTAGTGCCCTTGCTGGTCCTCTGGCTAAGACAGCAGTTACTGGATACGTATCCAAACAAAAGTAGATACAGTAGATATCTTGTCAAACAATAGCGCTGTGTCTCATTCTATGCCATTAGGTTACAAAGAATTGCAAAAGGTAGAATGAACAGCTATTTTATACTGAAAATCAGTAAAAACAAAACAAAAAACCACCAGATGGTACACTGGAAACCTCCATGGTCAGTGACCCCATCCTCTGTGCTTAGAGATAGGGCAACACTAAGAACGACATTGCCTTACCAGGTATTAGATTCCCACTTGGAATAGGCATTGCTGGAGAAAGTGAAGTGTTTGGAATGCCAATGTCTCTGAAAACTGATCAACCCATGTGTCATGGGCAAGGAGTAAGAAATAAGTAGAACTGTTTTATTCCAAACATGAGGAGCCCTCAGAATATCAGATAATGGTGTAAAATGAACACAGATCGACAAAAGCAGAAAAAACTTGTCATCTGTTATAACCCTTTATGTCATGCCAGTAGAAGCATAGCAAAGTGTTTTTGCTTTAAATATGAATGTATGAAGACAGACGTAAGCATGAGCTATGGCTGTGTTTATTGTTACTTTTTCCATCCGACATGACATAGTTGAGTTCATTGCACACCAATGATATGGCATTAGCAAACTGTATTAGCAATGTCCCCTAGACCATCATTCCTCCAATGGCATTGTGAAATAAGAACTGCCTTTGATATTTACTACAGAGCTGAAAGAAACAGATGTTTTATCTTTAAAAGAAATGTATCAGGGGAATATATATATATATATATATATATATATATATATATATATATATGAATGTATGTATATTGTATATGTGCTAGAAAGATTAAGAAATTAAATTATAAAAAGAAAATCTATATGAGATTATTCTATAACTACTCAGTGTTACATGTTATCATTAAATTGGTAACAAATGGCATGAAATAGTTGTGCCTTTAATTTGTAATAAAGGCACTATGCTTTTCCTATAGAAAGCTAGTTTGCCCCTATGGATATGGTGGGGCTGGATGCACACAGGTTATTGCATCCAGGAATGATAACCTTCAACAAGAGAACAAGAAGAAAACATATACACATCAGCCTTCTGTGACTTAGGATTAAAAATGAAAATTATTTTTGAAAAGGTTTTATAAACACCATTTAAAACTATAGGGAGTGACTGAGTGTGGCCTTCCTGAAATTGCTTTTATTTCAACTGTAGGAATCCTTTAGAGAGGAATAAAGAATTAAGCAATCCCTGGAGGGAGAGATGTTAAGTACTTGTCATTTATATGTGAAGAATATGCATAGTGTGCTTGGTGCTGACTGTTAATTGTGGTCTTTAGATGACTTTCGAGTGTCTAGCTGTAGAATTTGTCATATAAGTGTATCTTTAAAGCAAGGGGCTATACATATCTGTTACTTAACAAACAACCAAAACAACATTTAAAAGAGGAAAGAAAAAGAAAGATTGTAAAGAAAACAATGAGAAGTGAAAGGAAAGCGAGAACAAGAAAATACAATCTTCCTTCAGTTTTTTAGTACAAAGATCTTTTAGACCTATCTGCCATTGAACGTGGTGATTTCTCATTTACAGTCTCTGCAAACACTAGACTGTTTTCAGCAAGTGTTTCATTTACTTATTTATTTATTTATTTCTGTTTTGCGTATGAATGGGGCTAGTTCAGACTGGTGGTCTTAGTTGTACACAGTTTATTACCATGTGACCAGCAGCTTCTACTTATGTTGGATTTTAATTTTTTTACTTGATTATTCCCTGTATTTATTCTGCATCTCAGCCCTTCCACCTGACAATGCCACTTGTGCTTTCTTCCACTACAATCTCCTTATAATATGCTTCTGTTTTTTCTCCCCATGCTAACAAAATAAAGGAAGTAGTCGGCGATAAGTCAGGGCCTGTGAATCACATGAAGTCCTGGGTCATAAAGCGTTAATAACTTTAATGGTTTGCTGTGAACAAACAAATCAGCCATATTTTCTTCATCAGCCATATGAGAACACTCAGAAATACCTGGACCCTGTCTGCCTCACTTCGCTACGGAAATCATTTTGTTTAAATGGTCTCTTAAATTGTAGTTTTAAGACTCAATTGTCTTTTATTCACTATCTAATAAAGGATGAAGCCTAACCACTGAGCTTCAGGTGGCTTCTCTGTGATTCTGTCCTTCTTCTCTGTTTATTTATCTTTACTCAGTCAGCATCTATTATGGTACTGACTGTTACAAAGCAATAGCACTTTTCCTGGGGAACATTCTTTAGGAATACAGATTGACACTTTAGATGTGGCAGGAATAGTACTATGAAAATCTCAAGGTGGTCTAACTTCAGTGTTATATATCCCTTTCTGTGCATCACACCCCATGCAGAGTATGATACACATGAGTGTGTTATGTTTCATTAGAAACAATGTGAATACATTGCAGACCAAAGACCCTGTAGAAACCATTTATACCACTCTTAGAGAGAATCTAGGCCAATGGAAACAGATGTCAGGTACTACTGTGTTTCTCTTTCTGCAAAGACAATTGATAAGAACTCCAAATAACAGTTGTTTATATTCCATAAGCAGACACAGTGGGTTTTGGCAGTTTCTCTAGCCACTGCCTCATTGGAACAGACTGCTATCTTCATGTGCTGTTACAACCTTTTACCATTACAATTAAATCGTAGCTACGTAACTGCAGACATAACTTGATTAACAATAAAATAACAAGTAAATATAAAATAGTGTTTATTTAGAACTCAAGAAGATAAAAATAATGAAACAAACATTTTTTAAAATTTTAAGAAATACCATTTTCAAGAATAGGCACGGAAGGGCTGGAGAGATAACTCTGAGTTCCGTGTCTCAGCACCTGAAGTGTTTGACTCACAACTGCCTGTAACCCCAGCTCCAGGGAATTTGATACCTCTGGCTTCTAGGTGCACATTTACTCCTATGAACCACACACATACACATAAATTAAAATAATAAAAACAAACCTTTAAACAGGTAAGGTAGAAGTCACTGTGTCTATGTTTGTATATTATAAGTTATTGATCAAATGAGGCTCAGTAGCTTGCTCTACTTGCAGCTCAAGTTAGAGTGGATATCTTTATGTCCGTCTTTGTGTTTCAACTTTTCTGAAGGAGTCAGATCATGAGAGCTAGAGGATACAGCTAGTAGACCAGTATAAAACACCCAACATGTATACATTTCTGAATTTGATGTCCATAGTGTATGAAATTGGGCATGGTGGCACATGGTCATCAGGCCAGGGTTGGGAGGTGATGCAAGGGGACAGAAGTTCAAGATATAAACAAGTGAGAGGGACTGCTTGTGGAACTGTCTCCAAAGAAAGTCAGATGAACAGGAACCATACCAAGATCAGATCACAATTGGAAAGTGAAAATAAATCTAAAGGTCTCTCTTTGCCAAGACATCAATGTACAGCTCTCTATCTTTCTGTATGGAAGCATGAATAGGACAATATTAATAAGTAGTTTTATAAAAGGCATAAACATGACAAACTGAGCTTCCAGGGACTTAGGTCAGTTTAGCTGGTTGGTATAGGCCTGCAGTCTCTGCTACTCAAAAGACTAAGGAAAGAAAAGTGTAGGATTAAAGCCAGCCTTACAACTTAGGTAGTGTGCTAGAGTTCATGAGAAATATAGAGTATTTCCTCAGGGTAGAGTAGGAGGACATACCAACATTCATTTTTGAAAAGGACTAAGAAATGCCTTCAATAGGGAGATACTCTTCCCCTTCATATCTGATGTGAACTCATCCTTTCGAATGGCTGGAATGACTCCTTGAACTGCCAAATATATTTGAAATTTAATCTGATCCATGTTCATTTGGTCAAATTGAGTCTTAATTATCTGTCATGTTACTAACATCATATAGAACATTCTCTAACATTTAGGGAATGAAATACCATCCCTAAGGATAATTTTTCAAGAGTTAGACTGAAATGGTTGTGAGCAGAACCAAACTCACAGGAAGACGGGTCTCAAAAATGTAGCCTTCCAGTAGGAGGACAGGAAACAAGAAATAGAAATGAGAACTGAAGACAAAAGCAATAGCTGGGACTAGGAAGTATTCCAGAAGCTAATAACTTTTGCCAAACAAGCTTATTAAGAAATTCAACATCATTTATACTCATATTTGGAAAATGACCATGATCACCAGATAGCTAAATAAGACAATGTTGTCAAAGAGAACAGGATGCCTCAAATACTGCTGCCTAAAGAACCATAACTTCAGCTTAGGGAAAGAGTTGGGTTCCCAGAAGCCAGAACCTTGACTCCTTTATCTTGCCCTACAACAATCTCGCCAAGTCTAGTCCAGGACAAGAACTATAGTTTCCTCCATCCTTTCATCGGGGCCTCTACAAATATCTTGGGTTGGCTTGGCTCCCCATAGGAGCAAACATATATTTAAAAATGGATAACTGTTTACTGACCAGTTCTAACAGTACACTTGTATGTATATGTATGCACAGAAATTATTTTTAAATGGATCTCTCAATGTTTTTATACTACTGTCAATTTTTACAGGTATAGCAATCATTTTATATTTAATGACTGGCTTTATATTTTTAAAAAGCTGGAGCTGGAGAATGATTCTTCAATTAAAGACATTTTCCAATCTTTCAAATCATTGGGATTCACTTCTCAGCACATACATAGTGGCTCATAAACAAGAGTAGCTCCAGTTCCAGGGGACA